AGAACCGGAGGTCAGATGAACAGGAGGCAGCCGCAGAATCTAAAGCAAGCGAAAAGCCAGAACGTCTGCCTGTATTTGGATGCAGGCCACGCCCCCAAGGAAACTCCTTTCAACTGATTACCTACTCACAGCAGATTCCATCATGGGAGTGATCACATATAAACACTGAGAATCATGGTCCAGCCAAGTGACACACAATCTTAACCATCACATCGCCTTTATTCTAGAGCAGTCCCTTTTAAAGCATTAGAAATGACTCCTCTCCTAACTATAAAAAAAGTGTTCCTCCTCTCAAGTTTCTAGCAGGCCTAGGAGGGAAGAGCCTAATGTTTGAGATTTCTTTCAGTGACGTTGAGTGTACGTGTGTGTGTTTCTCCAATTTACTGCGTTAACCATGAGTCTCAGAATATTCTAGTGATGTCAGTGTTAACTGTATAGTCTGTGGAATTAATTCTCAGAAAGCCGAGCTGGTTAGCTCACCAGGTAACACCGTACTGCAGAAAAGCAAAGCTTCCACAGTGGACTTAACTTGGCACCATGGCCACTGAGTGTTCCTCCCCTGAGCCAGGGCAGTGACAATGACATCTGAATCCCTGAGGACCAGGCATGTCAGAATTTCAGAGAGGTGGCCATGGGGACGTGTGCATTTTGGAAAAGCTTCCCAAGTGATTCTGAGATAAGACCCCATGGCTCCACTTGGGATTAAAAAGGCTTACCTTGTTACCAGACGCAGGGGCTGGGGCAGCCTGTATTGGGTAGGTTAGCACAATGCACTCTGGTGAATTATATGCCAACCTCCTTTTGTTTTTCACTATATATGTCTTTCAACTTTTCCTGCAGTTGATCCCAGTCAATAAGGTGCCTATTTTTTAAAGACTTCTGTTTGAAGGGAAGAATGGTAAGATGTGAACATCAGCCCTCGGCTCTCCTCCCCCCAGACAAACCCTTCTGGTGTTGTCTGCCTGTTTTAAAAGCACAAGTTCCTGTCTGTCATCTGGTCTGAGTTGTCTCTAAGGTTACAATTGTCAGTTCAGAAGTGAGGCCTCCAGAGCACCAGCAAACACAGACACAGAGCTAATGGGACCAGTGCAGCAATGCTGCATGCCCGGCTACTTCCTGTGCTTAGGGAGGAAATGGATGGAAAACAAGGTAAATTAAAGAATCCGTTTCTAATCTTTACTGCTCCCTGCAGAGATAGTGGAGGCAAGCCGATTTAGAGAGTCAAACAACAAGAAGAAAACAACCTTGAAAGCAGTGGAGAAATGACAGATGTTACAAAGCAGTGTTTCCTATAGCATTAGCCCTGAGCTGTGTGTGCAGTTAGACAGAGGGGCAAGAAAGAAAGCGACATCAGGGCCTTGAGTAAACCTGGGAAGTATCCTTGAAAGCCCTGGTGTCCAGGCAGCCCCTGTGTGCAGGTGACTGAATGTGTGTGTATCTCCACATGTGCATATGTATGTGTGCATATGTGTGTACATGTGTTTGTCTCCATGTGTGCTGTCTACACACACACATGTGTTGTCTCCACATGTGTGCATGCACGTGCATATGTGTGAATGCACACACATGCACCCAGCCACTCCCACGCAGCCCCACAGAGCACTGAACTCATTGCCTACTTCCAGTCCCACAGCCCATCCCAGAACCTGAAGGAGAAGGATCTTGTTAAAGGGCAAATTTAGTAGTTCCTCAGCTAGAAGAACCCTTTTGAGGCTTCTACTCACGACCAACAGGATATGGGGATCTATTCTCCCCTCTCCCCACCCCTGCCAATCCCCTGTCACAGTCAGATGCAGTTCTGCCCCACCAGCCTTGTGACAGTTCCCCATTCTCAACCTCTGTGCTCTTTGTACATGGCGGTCTGTCTGTCTGCAATCCACACTCCTCCACTTGTCGGAAGGAAATGTCTTCATCAAGACTTAAGCTCTTTGAAGCTTTCCCTTTCCCCAAAGACAGAGTTAGGGGTGCTGTCCCCTGGGTTAATACAGCAGCCTTGTCAGAAACCATGATGGTGCTCACCAGGCCGCGGAGGAGCATTGGGACCTCACGGTTGTTTTCCCTGTTGGGCTCCTCCATGACTTCTGACTGTGTGGCTGTGGGAAAAATGTCTTCTCTGTGCCCCAGTCTCCTCCTCATAAAACAAGGCCGTTGTGCAGACTAAATGAGTTAATATGTGTAAAACATTTTGAGCAGTGTCTAGCTGGTAAATGTTAGCTGTATTTTAATTTTCAGACTTTTGTTCTCTGAGGAATGAACAAGTTCTTCCTGTACCTAATGTTAGTTCTTAATAAAGGAGAACGTGCTACTTTCCTTGCTGGGTCACATTCGTGACTTCTTGAACTGGAGAACATTCCCTTGGTCTGCTTATTCACTTGGCTTTTTCCCTGTAATCATTCTCTTAAAAATTTATGATTGTCTACAGTTTGCTTGTTGTGATTTATGATTATTTCAAGCTAGCGTCTATCAAGTGCTATAGTGCAAAACATTTTATATACATCAGCCGTAATCTTCCAGATGATGCTGCGAGAGAGATGTTATTCCCCTTTTGCAGATGAGGAAACTGAGGCTGGGAAGGCAATTTGCTCATGATCATAAAGCTAATAGGTAACAAGTCCAGGATTCTTGCTGACTTCTAAGCCGTGCTATTTTTACTCCTGCAGGCTACCCCATGTCAATAACCGACAGCTTCAGGCACTACCTGTAAATCCCAAGCCTTTGGGGACAGCCCCAGGGTCTTCTGGGGATCCAGAGCCGTTGCAGGGGTGGGGTGGAGGTTGAGGCAGAAGCAGAGAGGAGCACTTGTCTCCAGGAGCAAGTCCAAGGGGGCGCCAGATGAGGCGCAGAACGACATTCTGAGGCGCCACAAACATGAAATACGCCTGACTAAGGCAGCCGGACAAGAAGGGGGAAGGCATTTCTGTTGATGTCGCCATTATCAATGTCTAGTCATCTTCACATTGGGGGTGGGGAGTGTGCACCATTTAGAGATTGCCCCTGGGCGGTCATTGCCCTCGCTATGTCCCTGTGGGGATCAGGTCCTAAAACTGGGACACAGATGGTACAGTGTCTCCCCCCTGCTTAGCTGTCCACTTCCTGATAACCAGACACAGGCCACATTCACCCTGCAGCTGAGTATCTCCAGAAGCAGAAAGCAGTTAAAAAACAGATTAGAAAGTGGGGGCGAGGTGGGGGGGTAGCTGTGTCAAAGGGCTTTCAGTGACTGGTTTTTCCAAAGGAGATTACCAGGCTTTTCTTCTGAGGTGCCTCCAAGTGGACTCGAACCTCCAGCCTTTCTGTTAGCAGTTGCGTATGTTAAACCGTTTACACCATCCTGGCACTCTGAGAAAGGGACAATCGTAGCGTTTTCTCTGTGGAAAATATAGAGCCCTATAATCTTCTGGGTTCCTGCTAGTAATGATTGTTTATTTGGAATGAAATGATTTTGAGGAAAGAAAACAATCTTTGAGAAGGAAGACCCTGGCTTGGCAGGCATCTCTGCCCAGAAGAGGAACTAGACCTTCTGGTCCTCTTGGCCTCTCTTCTGCCGTGGAGTACACGCCACAACAGAGCCCATTACTCTTACCGCTGTTCCCTCCAGTCTGCCGAGCCAAACCATGGAGTTGCACTCTAGCAGGTGTTTGCCACAGCTGTCTTCTGAGAGCACATGCCGTGTGAAATGCTATAAAAAGGGGTTGTACAGTCAGGGGAGTCTGGAAAAACTGGTAGTTTAGCTGATTCCTGAAGTTTGATTTCATATACCTTTTAAGTATGTTTCTTCTCAGGCCATTTCTTTTTTTGCGACTTGGATTAGGACATTAGGACTTTTTTCTCTTCCTTTCCTAGTGTGTAACCATCTGTCTTACCAGCTAGTTCCAGATTTGTTCACCTAAAAGCAGTGAGTTTGTGCTTCTTTGTGCTGTTCTAATTTTTAAGTATTTTTAAAATTTTGAAATAATTTCAAGGTTACAGAAAAATTGGCAAGATTACTGTAATGAACTCCTGTATACCTCGTACCCAGAACCCTGTGGTCAGCTGCCAGTCATGCACTTTGGGCAGAAATATCGCAAAAGGGCTCCAGTATCTAATTTGAACATGAGATGACAATAGTATCTTCCAGGTTTCTCCACTATAAGTTACTGTTTTTCCCTTTATAATTAATAAGTACTGAAGGGAGATCCTTTGAGACTTTGTAAATACTCTGTTTGTTATCAAACGCTCACCTGCTAGTTTTAGCATCCCCTGAAGATCTTTTCCTTTATCAGTTTTACTATGGTAATTGCCAAATGGTGACTTTCTAATACAGTTTCTATTATTCCTTCTATACTTACCTAGCTGGCATTCTGTTCTAAGGAAGAGCCTTTCCTTCTTCCCTGTTGATGTATTTTGCTCACTTATTCATGGATGCCTCTTCTGTTCCACTACTTATAATCCATTACTTCTATTACTTTATATTTTGATGCTCAGATTTGGCCCCTTGGAGCCCTGCAGGCTGCCCCGTGTGTCCTTTAGATATGTTCCCATCATTCTTTGAACACTTCCTAACTACTTCCTGGCACAGGATGCTCCAGTTTCGTCTCGTATTTTCCCTATGGCCTGGGATCAGCCATGTCTCCTGATCTTTTAACGGAGAATGGTGTTTAGAAACCACAGTCTGGGTGCCATGGGTGTCGCCGCTGCGAAGGCATCACTGCTTCCGACCCCTCTCATCAGACAGAGCTAGGAAATTCAGGGTGTGTGCATCCATGGAGTCCCATGGTGGTGCAAATGATTAAATATTCAGCTGCTAACTGCAAGGTTGGAGGTTCAGTTCTACCCAGAGGCACCTCAGAAGAAAGGCCTGGCCATCTGCTTCTGAAAAATCAGTTTCTTAAAAACCATATGAAGCACAGTTCTACTGTGACACACACAAGATTGCCATGAGTCAGTGTCGGCTCAACCATATCTATCCTTCTATATTTTTAAAATTGTTAATAATAAATTGGTTATTTTTCATTCCCCAGGCTTTTTCTCCTCCGTGACAGCCAGAGTAATCCAAAGGCATTTGTACTCACACTGTGTCATCACCAGAAAATAAAAAATTTCCAGATCTTACCTGTAAGTACTGATATTTTCATACTAGCCCTTATTTTTTTGTTTTCTAATTTCATTCTTAATGTGGTTTTCAGGTTATAAACTAAACTATCTGACGTTAGACAGTTCTAAGCTCACAGATGTGATGCTTTCAAGAGTCTCTTCAAAGGTTTGCTGTTTGAAATTTGGGACAATGTTTTCCCTAGCAATAATATTGTAAATGAGGATACTGTGCTGAGACCCTCCCACATGCCTGTGTAGCTCATAGTTGGTGAAACAACACTATCAGTGCCCTGAGTCCTGGCCTAAGGAGGAGCAGGGTCAGTGGTAGAAAGACATGGAGGAGAACTCTGTCATAGCTAAGGAGTGCAGTGGCTGTGAGCATGTGCAGTTACGAAGGTAGGAATTGTACAGTAGGTTTGACTGTTGGCCCCATGAACCTAAGGAATTGTCTGATCTAGGCTGGTGAGAATCAGAATACAAGAAGGTTGTAGAAAACTGACCCACAGCTAGGTGGACCACCAGTGAGAAGTTGTGTTGCTCATTCCACGTGGTCCTTGCACCAGAAAACAGAGGCTGTCTTTGAACAATTCCAAAAGCATGGTTACAGAGGACGTTGGTCAACACTACTTTTTTTACCAAGCAGTTTTTGTTAAATTTGTCTAATGTGGCTTAACTCTCCTCAGTGTACCACAGTTCACATTTTAGCTTAGGATTAGGATGTTACATGGGACACAATTGTAAGCGCTTCTAAGGATTCACAGTTTAGTTGGGCATAAGATATGCAAAATTAATATCAAATGTTTTATGTAATGAATTGATACATTCTGCAGGTAGTAATAACTGTCACAAAACATTTCCTGTGGAAAACAAACCTAGGAAATGTTTTGCCAAAAAAGGATGGCCAAATATTTTCCTCTCAGAGATTCCCTCTGCACGTTAACAGCATAAAAGCTCTGAGAAGGCTTGGAGTAAATAAATGTGTCTGTTGCATTTAGTTCAAGCCGGCATTTTTCAAGGTAGCTTGACTCTAGGACCATTAGACTGTCTCCAGAATTTGTAATGAAAGGAGGCCGTGGGCTTGTGAAGGATAGGAAGGCCATCTTGTAGATTTCACCCGTTAGTGATAGCAAATATACTGTGTACTATCTGCCATAGCGCGGTGGTTAAGAGCTGGACTGCTAACCAAAAGGTTGGCAGTTTGAATCCACCAACCGCTCCTTAGATACCCTATGGACAGTTCTACTCTGTCCTGTAAGGTCACTATGAGTCAGAATCTTCTTGATGACAACGAGTTTGGCTTGGTTTTTATATGCTGTGTAATCAATTGCTTTGCTCTGTTTTAATTCCCCTATTTTACAGTGAGAAAGATGATGCTGATAGCTTGCAGTGCTTGCTGTGAACAACACTAGTAGAAAGGGATAGAGCCTGGGTTTGAGCCTAAACTTCACAAAACATTATAAGTAAACATGAGGGTTATTATTCAAGGACAAGTGCTTCATTCACAATCCTTTGAATTTTTTTTAATTTTTTTGACATCAAACAAAATCACATACGTACGGGTAGTCCCCAGCTTACGACGGAGTTCCTTTCTGACAACTCCTTCATAAGCAGGTTCTGACGTAAGTTGAATGCCTCATTTTTTGTTTGTTTTCATTGTTATTGCCTTTTATGATCAGTATCTTTATAAATCAGATCTCTGTCTTTGAGGGTTGGTATGAGAATGATAACATCAGTAAATTACATGCTACCACATTGTATGAAGTACATATCACTAACAATAAAATGTACCAAAAAAAAAAAGATGATCGTAAATGCGGTTCGTTGTAACTCAAATACCTCATAAGTCATGGACCACCTGTACGTGTGATTTGACATCACATATACCTTTGATGTATAGGACACATCAGATTATTGACACCAGGATATATTCTCCCCCAATCCTATATAATAATCCCCAATCCTAGAAGTAACAGAGGAACAATAACTTGGGACTTAGAGCAGTAAGATTGTAGCCTTGGTGTGGGAGAACAAGCTATGAGATGTGCTTTTAGCTACAGTGGCGTTTCTGGTGTTAAAGAGTGGTTCTAAGTTTATTAATCACCAAAGATTTAAAACTTGCTGACTCTTTGAAATGCACAGTGTGATACTTTTGCTCTGCTCTGTTAGGCAAGCATTGATTTAAAACTCACCAAGTTCACATAGATGTCAGGAGTATAATTCTTTCTGGGAGGTATTATGAAGTTCCTCAGTTCTGATGAAAACAGCTACAAGTTTTCTAGGACTTGGGAAAGTTGCTTTACCTACATGGTCTTATCAGTCCTATACAATAATTCAATAATTGCTTCATAACTGAGCAAAATGAGCCTCAGAGGCCTTAAGAAGGTTGCATGAGGTTATAGAGCAAGAAGCCAGGTGCGCGTACTCTTTCCATAGTGCTGTGTGCGGTGGATGCTTAAAAGTTAGCTGTCTGTGCTCAGGGGTCCCCAAGGCCACCGTCAGATTATTTCACTAGAAGGACTTACAGAACCCAGAAAACACAATATACTCATAGTCAAAATTTATGACAAGGAAAGGATGCAGGTTAAAATTGGCACAGGGAAGAGGCACATAGGGTGGAGCCCAGGAGAGAGAACCAGGTATCCTTCCAGTGGAGTCATAACAGACAGCACTTAATTCTCCTAGCAATGATGTGTCACAACACCCAAGAGGTATTGCCAACCAGGGAAGCTCACCCGAGCCTTGGTGTCCAGAGTTTTTATTGGGGGGTTGGTCATGTAGACAAGGAGCACCCACAAAGCTAACCTTAATTATTCAGTCTCCATTCTCTGTAGAGGTCAAGCTGATACTGCATGACCCAAGGCCCCACCATAAATCACATTGTTAGCCTAGACTATCTGGCATGGCCCAAGGCCCCCAGTAAACAAAGATACTCTTATCAGGCAGGATATTCCAAGGGCTTAGAGGTTACCTCTCAGGAGCTGGGCAAGGGCCAAACCTTTCTTTGGAATGTGCAGAGTTTGGACAACCCAGCTTTGCTGAGTCAACCCTTGTTATACTCTCTTTATGGAGCCATGCTGGCAAAGTTGACTCTCGTGAGCCATGTGAGCTGAGAGGAATTTAGAGCTTTTCTGCTCCAGCATGCTAGCTAACAGGTGAGCAAAGGGTGGCCCAGCAGGACTTAGTGACTCAACCAGCACCACACCCAGGGCCAAACCCCAGGCCTCTGACCTTCCATCCCAAATGTTTCTTGCCTACTCTGCTGACTCCGTGTGTATGTGCCTCCGTTAGGAATGTAACTATGGACAAGACAAAGGTGCTAGTGAACATCAGCCTTATGTTACTCCCTTGAGGGCCTGACCTCTAACTTGGAAAGTGTTCTTTTGTCTCTCTAGTGTGAGGATGACGGACAGATGTTCTTCAGCCTTGACGATGGGAATACCAAATTCTCTGACCTGATCCAGCTTGTAGACTTTTACCAACTCAACAAAGGAGTTCTGCCTTGCAAACTCAAGCACCACTGCATCCGAGTGGCCTTATGACCTCAGATCTACTCTCGGCTGAAGACTGGAGGAAGTTACACTGGAATGAAGAAGAGGTCTGTAGATTGGTTGAGAACACATATCTATTCTGCACCTTGGCACTCGGAGAGAGATGGGTTTGTTCGGTGCCATCCAACCAAGATTGACTGGTTTGTTGGACTTAGCAGTGATTTGCTGCTGAGAAGCCAGCAGGATCGCCTCCCTCTGCATTTGCCAAATCAAAGAGGGTATGAGAAATCAAGCGCAAATTTGAGAATAAACTGGAATGAACATCTTGGCTGGGCCACTTAGGAACAAGAACCGAAGAGAAATAATTAGAAATGGACTCTTGCCCTGGAATAATCTTGACAATTAAAACTGATATGTTTACTTTTGTATTGATCACTTTTTTGCACTCCTTCTTTGTTTTCAATATTGTATTCAGCCTATGTTAGGAGGGGATGTGGCTTTTCAGTTCATAAAGGCATGAAAACCGTTTTGAATGGGCAGAATTCAAAGACTGAATAATGGTCCCCAAACGTTTGCAGAGGGTGCTCCTCCCCTCTGCAGATTACCACAGTGTGGATTCAGCTCCCAAATAACAAACCACCCCCACCCCTTCCCAGTATACTTGAAAAACTTTGTTTTAGTACAAGGTGTTGACTGTGGTAGGCATTTGGCCTCATTTATGGACCCAGTCAAGCAGCCACAGTCTCTTAGTCATTTCTCTATGCACAGATGTCCAATACTTTTGTCATTAACGTGTCTTGTCCTCCACAGTTCAGGAGACTATTTCTTTGAAAAAAAGTCACTGTTGCACAGCACAACAGGGCTGAACCACCTCGCCTCTAGCTGGATGAAGGCCAGCCTTCCTGAGACACGCCCAGTCGCCACGGCCACCAGCGGTGCCGCAGAATCCGCCCCCGGGGCCACTTTTAGCCTCACATTTTTCACAGCCTCAACCTGTTCTAGAATGATCGCTGCCTTACCCCCGCTGCGAGGCTGAGTCTTGGCTGATCTCCCTCCGGGGATTAGAGGATCTGAAAGAAAATGGCACCCAGCTGGCTTCCTGCAGTGTCCTGTGGGTTTCCGTGGTGATAAAGAAACATTACAAAGGGCACAGACACAGCCTGACATTTAAAGGTCTTTGCTTATGACCGTCCTGCTGAAACCCCCCTAAGCCAGTGAACGCAAGGCAGCTAGAGGCTCCTCCTCTGCTGGCTTAGGGTCACAAGTACCTCACAGTGATTGTGGACATGGACGCGGTCTATCAACACAACACTTGCTTCCCCCTCGGGGAGAGGAATCAGAAGAGGGGCAGGAGTTGTTCACTTGGTCCCTCCACCCCACGGGCGCCATCTTTGCCATTTCCCCTTAGCTAAGTTTTCAGGTGTGAGAGTGGCCATTTCTTTACCTTTGATCTCTGCAAAGCAGAAAGGGCTCCCTTGACCAGCGTACAGACTACTGTGGTGAACAAGATGATTTCCCTTCCTGATGTAACAGTTATAACACTTGACTGGCTCCTCTGAATAGACGCTCACCACTGGATTGCCTAAAATCCGACTCACTGAAGTGCTCCCAAAGGAACGGCAGTTAATCGTTCTTCGGTTGACATGCCTCGTTTAGGACAGACATTTAATGAACTTCAGTAACACATATTAGCTGTCATTAAGTCTATAGTATAGAGACACTGTATTTTAGTTTACAGGCCAGATGCTGTTTTTTTCCATGTCTACTTAGAAACACAAAGAATTTTTAGTAAAACATGTTTCTAACCAGAAATACTAAATTGCATTTCTTCCTGTTGTAGCCAATTGGCAATTAGGTAATACTCACGTTCAGACCAGATAACGTAGGTCTGCTGAACTTCACGTTAGGGAAGGTTACTCCAGTTATACCTTTATATCCTTTTTCTCCTCAGTGGTTTGACGTAAACTTCCCCCCTCGACATGTACTTTTTTTTTAACCTCTAGGATTTCTTTTTTCTGTTTATGTAGACAAGTTCCATTAGCGCATAATCCCTCCCTCACGCCCCTTTCCCATAGACAGGCTAGGATTCGCAGTAAATCATATTTATAAATACGCGTTTTATTTAAAAGGAGGTTCGCAATTTTGTATGTAGATGGTTTGACACGTAGTCTTTTGTACTTTCCAGCCTAAGTGAATTGTTGGAGAATGTAAACCGCCCTAGCGCCACAACAGACTTCCTGCAGCCCCTGGCTCACCTGCCTTTGTGCTGGGTAGCTGGGAATTCCACCTGAAAACAACAAAGTCCCTAGAGTCTGCTGGCTTCCAGTCCAGCAAACCAAGGACTGAAGGACATTTGACTTCTATTTTTGTATTTAAATGACATGAATGTAAAGGGGACAGCTCAGGGTTGTTATGGAGCCTGTTGAATTTTTATCTCTGCCTGTGATTTTCTTTTCTCAAACCAATACTTCATGTAGCAATCTGGACTAAGTAGAGAAGGGAAATGCCAAATGTTTTTGGTCTTAGAGTCGAATCGCTAAGCTCTGTTGCATTAGGTGTTAGAGTTCCAGAAAGTTTTCTTGTCTATTGAACCTTGAAGAAATATGTGCCTCAGTCTAGATGTGTTGTCTTCTCTTTTCTGCACTTAATACCTGACAGTGTGACCAATCAGCGCACCTTACCGGGAGTGGGGTGTGCTTGTTGTAGGTTGTGGTGTCACAGTGCACGCTACAGAGACTTAAATGGCCTGACATCGAAATGTTTTCAGGGAATGCAAAAGGTATTAACTGAAGAGACAAAACCTTTATTCCATGTGCTTTGCTTCATTCTGTACATAACTCTTTGGCTCGTGAACCTAATTGTAAACTTTCAGGTATTTTTGTACAAATAAGGGACTGATGTTCTGTTTCTTGTAATTAGAAATAAACATGAATACAGTGTTCTTCATTTTCTATTACTGGTAATGTCTCTTTCTATATTTAAAAACATTATGGCTGGTTGTCCGCTAAAACCCTTTGGAAGTGACTTAGAATATTTAAAATGTGCTGCTTGTCAGTAGTTAAAAGCTTGCACAAGGAATTGACAGTGGTTCCAAAGGGGTTGAGGCGTGAGCACGGGACTTCGGGGGGTGGCAATGCACAGAGGCCTGGCCTTGGAAAAACCCTGTGACTCTCCTTTCCGTCTTGCCGCCCAGTTGGGCTAGAAGCAGCTCCAGGTCACTGGGAAATTGTCTGCATTCAAATTCCAGCCCCACGTTGGCACCAGGGCATTGTCTCAGCTTTTCTCTTTTCCTCCATGCACCTCTACTGGTAATCACCAATGCCCAGCTGCCGTTGAGTCAACTCAGACTCATAGTGACCCCATGTGGGTCAGAGTAAAACTGTGCTCCAGAGCATAGTCAGTGGCTGATTATTTGGGTGGACTTGAACCTCCAACCTTTCAGTTAGCAGCTGAGCACATGAACTGCTTGCACCACCCAGTGACTCCGTCAGTAAATGATCATAGCCTGGGTTAATTCTGTTGGGAGTGGGGTGGAGGTAAGCACCCAGAGAAGGCTCAACTTCCTTGCTCTTTTTAACCATCCCAGGATATCCCACTGTACCTAAGAATCTACACTTACTATTGGGGTGAGAGTACTGTGGGAAATGTCACAGTATCAGTTAAAATGTTTAAAGTTAGAGGGTCAGAAATTCTAGTTCAAATGACCTTAAGCAATAAGGGAATTTATTGACTCACGATTGAGTAGTCTGAGGGTAAACTGAGGCACAGAGGGATCAAGGAGCTTGAGAAGTCAGGATCCTGTCTTTCTCCATCCCTCACTCCATTTACAAGATCCACATGGTGGCATGATTACTGCTAAAAATAAAACCTGTTGCCGTCGAGTCAATTCCGACTCAGCGACCCTATAGGACAGAGTAGAACTGCTGCATGGGGTTTCCAAGGAGTAGCTGGTGGATTTGAACTGCTGACCTTTTGGTTAGCACCCTCATACCCTGTCAGGTTGAAAACCAGTGGTAGCACCTGTATAGATAACTTCCTTCACAACTCTGTAGATCTATTTGGATTGTGTGCCAGTCCCGGGTCAGGCAGCCTCCCCCATAATCAAATGTGAGGGCGTCACTTTGCCAGGGCTGTTCCAAGCTCTGACTGGAACTGCACAAACCCATGTAGTTACCATTACTCTGTATAAGCTACTGCCCTCTAGACCTCCACATACTCTCACAAAGCCACTCAACCCCATTATGAGGAAGAGATGGCCATTCTCAATTTATAGATGAGGAAACAGGATCAGAGGTTAGAAGATTTGTCCACAGAGTGCGTGACAGATCCAGGATCGGGCAGACTGCAAACACACCACCAGGTAAATAAAGTGACAACACACGCCTTCACTTGCAGCATGTTCTGCTGGTTCAGATGTAATGTAAATGGAATAACGTACAATGGAGTCCTGGCTGGCGCCAATGGTAAAGTGCTCGGTTACTAGCCAAAAGATCCTCGGTTTGAACCCACCCAGAGATGTCTTGGAAGACAGGCCTGGTGATCTGCTTCTGAAGGGTCACAGCCTTGAAAACTTCATGGAGCAGTTCTGCTGTGCACACATGGGGTCACCATGAATCAGAATCGATGGCAACTAATAACAATGACAACATCAGGTAGGTGTTTGTAGCAAATACATATTTTAGAAGAAAGAAAGTGGGATTAGAAGCCTCCACCTGCCTGACCCACTGCCATTCCTGAGCCTGACCCCTTTTGATCCCATCTTCAAGTCTGTTCCTTGGAAGGCTGAGCCCCCAACCAGCAATGTTCTCTCATGCCTGCCTGTGAAGGGAGACCTTGGTGCTGGGGTGCGAGGCTCCCAAGGAGAGTGCCAGGAGCCCAGTCAGAGATGTCTAAGAAGGGATGTCAGCCCATTAACTCCTTCTCCCCCTCCCTGCTCTTCCTTGATTTCATTTGCACTTTCCTGCAGAATTAATCTACAACTTCCTTCTTCTCTCACCTGCAATCTTCTATTTGTGTTTCTAATTCTTTCACATTACACTGTTTTCCATTTTTCTTTCTCTAAAGAAGGTGTCGAAGACAGATGTCCCCTCAGGTTTCACAAATGCTGAAAAAAATAAAAATAAAAAAACAATAATAACAACTCATCAAAACGTTTGGCGTTTTTCCCACTGCAGAGGAACAATTAAAGTAGCAAGACCCTGGGTTTTCTAGTTCAATCAAAAAATTGATGGAGTCTTTTATCAAATGAACCTGAAGGAACAAGTTACAGTTAAAGTTCTAATGGAAGAGCTTATCATTGTCCACATCTAGTTGCTGCTGTTTACATTCCTTTGTTGAGCCTACACGTTCATAGACTTCTTGGCAGGTATATGTTGAACACTTCTGTTTCATGTTTAAGACAGAATCTAAGGCCATGGACGCTAACAACTGATGTATTCGTTGTTTTCTGTCTTTTTCCACGACTGTATCTACTGCCTCATCTTGATTTATAAGCAAAACCTGGAAAACCTACAAAAATCAGGTTTTGTGGTTTATCTAGGAATAATACAGAAAATATTACTGTTATTTTTGGTGAAGAAAATCAATTTTTGTACAGTTTATTTCAATCTAAATAAAATGTGAATTTCGTTTAAAAAAAAACTGACGGAA